GGGTTTTAAGCCTCTTGACCAACCCTTACGTCGCATCCACCTGTCAATCATGTCAGTTAGGCTACTTCATTTGAATGATGCTTATCCGTCATGAAATCTAAAAGATGAGTTATCAGAAATGTCACTCCCCATACAAAGTGTGCCGTCGAGTCATGAACTAATCTGAGCAATTTCGCTTTTGAACCAGTCTGTAAACATGTTAACTTCTGCGGTAAAAACTGGCTGTATGTGACCTCCGGTGCTTCTGCAGCCAGCCACAAGCAGATATTCAACGTACTTCAGGAATTTTCACTTCAGCATTGGCTTCATTTGTTAACACTGGAGATTGCCGCTTGGTCTCGAGTGAACTATCATCCCCTTAAGCTACTTCATTCTACACTATGTTCACCTGCTAGTCTTTTTTTTCACATCTGATGGTCCCTGAATGGTCTGAGCATTCGAAGTGGTATGAAAGTATGAAAATAAAATAATAATAAATAATTTACTCATTACAAATGTGTTGATGTTGAAAAGCGTTGATGTTATTATCATATGTTATTATGCTTAAAATCCATGAACCACCAACCAAATCCTGCATTATAGTTAGGTGAAATTATCCTCATGATGATTTAGTAGCAGTCCAGCTGTGCTTGTTTTGTCTGCTCGTCAGTGAAATTAACGGAAAAAACGTATAGCCTTATTTTAATGAAACGTGATTACAAGTCGCAGCATTAGTCAAAGAAGAGCCTATAGGAGCTGATCTGGATCTGCCTTGGGCTCTCAGTGTGGCCTTCTAGTTTAATATGTTTTATGCATATTGGGCTCAGGAACGTTTTCTACACATTCAAAGGTCCAACATCAGAGACCTGTGAAGAGCCCTCTCCAGTTGCTAAATTAAACAGATAGATGGCTATGGCTCTGATTCTAGCTTAAAACATTACGTTTATTAGAGATTTTCTTATTTTTCATTGTAAGCTAAAAGATGCTAAATGTACAGCGCTGAAGGGATAAGTTCTTCAGTTTCCCGACTATAAGCAACCATGTACACGCGTTTCCTTAGATACAAGAGGGGGGCTACAATGAAACTTTGGAACCCACAGAACTTGCAGAACAACACTGCAAGAGACATTTTTAATAAAATATTGGGGTCTACTGATTTTGAAATATTGCCCACTCTTTCCTGAAATATGGGAGCCTTGGTAGTGAGGAAACAGAGTGATGTCAGTTGTCTGTTGTGGATATGAGCGGATGTGGCTGAGATGTGGTGGAGTGGCAGAGAGTGGGGTTATCGCTGTGATGAGTGCTAAATACTGACACTGTGACACTGGAAGAGAAAAATAAGGCCATCAAAGAGACAGAGAGAGATTATGTGAACTGTTGAGAGGAGGAGATGAGAGGGGGAATAGAGAGGAGGAGCTGTTTGACCCCTGGAGGGATGATAAACTAATTATACTTACACATTGACAAAGAGAAGAAAACACTCACATTAAGCGAGTTTTACCACAGTAACTTTATTTTTTGTGCCCAAATTCTGCAGGATTCTGTGACTTATGCAGCTAAAAGCTAATTCACACTAAATGAGATAAACAAGTAGGATGTCATAAACCCTTTTTGCAAAACATTGGTAGCATGACTTTGTGTTGTGAAATGGCTTTGTCAATAACCTGACAGCAGAACTCTCTGCAATCTGGATGTGTGCCACAGCATGATTGAGACGGGCTAACAGGGATTTACAGAGGTATGTGTGGTCTTGGGAACTCATAACCCAAGACTCATAAAACAAGCTTGAGAAACCTCAAGGAGAGGCATGTCTCCTTGTACAGGACGATAGCCTAAAAAGTTAATTTGGTTGGAATTTGCCTTTATTAAGGGACATTTTGATATTCAAACTCCGTCTAGTGTGTGGGGGAAGCCTGCAAATACAGGATTTATTGGTTTGTTCGTACTTCAAAAGTTATGAATCGAGACATTTGTCCTTGTGCTTTGAAACTCTACTATCACAGTCATTGTGTGCAGCTTAAAGGAGTAGTCAACGTTTTGGGGGAACACAGGGGTTTCCTTTCATTCTGTGACGAAGATAGAACGACACAGTCCATTTTAGTATAGCTGGAGTTTGGTTAGCCTAGCTTAGCATAATGACTGGATGCAGGGGGAAAAAGTACCCCGGCTCTCAATTGCTGTTATTCAACTGGTTTTCAGATGTAAACAGTTAATTGTTTTATTCTCATTTTTGACAGAACCTAGCTCCCTGTTTCCCCCACATGCTACCGGTCTTTATGCTACGCTATGACAACACAGTTTAACTACATTGGACAAATGCAGGCTTCATATTAAATTCTGTGGAGCCTGCTGGGCTCTGTATAAAAGCATGTGGCAGTCTTAAGGTGACAACTGCTAACAATTGTGTTCATTTATCTCAGCTCATCTTTAATATTAGGTTGCTAAAATAAAGTCAACCTCCAGTGTTGAAAAAGGAAGACAATGCAGAAGTGCAGAAAACTGCAGTTCCTCGAGTGTCCACTTGAGGCTGGCTGCAGAAGCCTCAGAAGTCACATACAAACCCATTCAAAAAAGCCTGTTTCTAAAGCAGAAATAAACATGTTTACATCCTGGTTCAAAAAAAGAATTTGGTTTGATTGGCTCCTGTCTTTATCGGCACCCACTGTCGAGGTGAATGTTTTTTATAACTCATGCTGCTTTGATTTTCTGAAGAATAAGAGTTCATTCTAATAAGGCCCGCGGCAGACCTGACTGAGCGGTGCGGTATACTTGTTTGTAAAGACCCGCCTCAACTCCACCTCTTTGTCCTGTGATTGGTTGACCAAAGTTTCATTCCAAAATGGCGACCGCCATTAATAGGCTTCAAAAGCCCGCTATAGTTACCAATGGGAAAAGTCACTGTGGCTTCATCCATGTTTATTCACAATCCATGGTCTGACCATTTATCCCCCCCCCCCCCCCCACATAAAAAACTGACAGAAAACTGATTTTCCGCTGTCTGGCTCTAATCTGATCAATGCCTGATCAGATTAGAACATCTTTTTTGTCGTTGCGCAAGTAAAACGAAACTGAAGATTAAGGTGTCCTATTGAACCATATCTGAAGTAGCATGAAAACTCGATGACCGGGTATTATGTTCAACTGCACCAGAAATTAGGAATTTTCTCCTCTCATCTGAAAAACGTTCCACTGTTTGGTCAAACAAAAAGATCTTTAGACTCAACATTTGTTAAAATGATTACACAGTGAGTGGAGTAGACGGTACATAATCAGGACTGCTCCCTCTGTGAGAGACTCACCGCCAGCTTATGAGAAAACCTATTTCTGTCAGGTGCAGCGGGGACTGGAGATATGGGACTCCTATCCCAGCTGTCTCAGTGAGGTGAGCTGGATGTGTGAGGGTCAGGGCATCTAGACGGATGCCAGTTTTTCTCACATCTTAGATTGTGCGTGTGTGTATATGTGTGTGTGTGTGTGTGTTTGTGTGTGTGTATATGCAGTATATCTCGCTGACCTGTCTGGCCTGAAGGTGGTGTGTATGATAAGCCACTTTCCCTCCTCTCAGTGTCCTTAGAAGCAGACATTTATCCAAAACTTTCCCACAACGTCATGGGACTCAACACTTAGCTCCCCGACTGGTTCATCTAAATGTTTCTATCAATAACAAACACCTCTTGTTTAAAGACGTATTGAAGCTATATTTTAAATCATGTATAGCCTCCGTGTGGTTCACATCTTATCTTGTATCACTTTAATCAATAGACACAAGATTGTGTACTTTTAATTTCCTCTCCTGTTCTGCCTTGTTTCAGTCAAACCCTTACAAAAAAACAGGTCATTGGCCAAATGCGTCACAATAAGATGCTGTATGTACCCCTCTAACAATATTTATGGATGTTGTCCGCTTTCTTTCTGTGTTACACTCAAACTGCAACCTCTGGTGTCAAAATTTAAGCCAATACGGTACTGCAAAAACTGCAGTTCCTCAAGTGTCCACTTGAGGCTGGCTTCAAAAGCCAAGAAATCCCCATAAAATGCTCATAAAGTTGATAAACATGTTTATTGCCCTGCACAAAAAACTGTTTATATCACTTTATATCCTCGTGCATACAGTCTTTGCACCATGCACTAGTCACATCACCCTCTACCACTCGCTCGAGGTGAATAATATCCTTCTGCGTTCTCACATCAGCTCACTCGGACTTGATGACGAAAATATACTCAGGGTAAGGAAGGAGAAACTTTGGGTAAAGTTAGAGTGAAAGATGTGACTGTTTGCATTAAAACTTTCAGTTCCTCCGGCAAATATCAGGAGTTTTTTGGGAGTTTTCTGCAAGTGTGAAAGTACTATAAGAGTTATGTTTCTGCTTGTATACAATTAGGGGTTACTGTGTTGATTGATAGGTAGGTGTAATGTGGCTGTCTGCCAGGAGGCTAAAGGCCGCATCAAAACGCCTCTTGGAGACCAATGGATGATGTCACTAAGACCAAGTTCATGTTTTGTACAGTCTATAGTTGATGTGCAGCATCATGGGTGTGAAAGACCACTTGAGTGACTGCAGGAAATGGAAGAGATTTACAAAATAACCTTCATACGGGTGTCAGGGGTTTCAATCTGGATGTGAAACCAAGAGCTGATGTGGAATTTTTGCAAGAGGTTCACTTTTACGTACGTTAATCTTGCATATATTTTATTTTTTATAACTATGTACTTATGCAAGTATGCTTCATTTTTCAACCCAAGCCATACTAAACACAACCATGTCATTTTGGTTCTGTACTAAACCAAACTAGCTAATTTGCAACATTAAGCATTAGTTTAGATGATTATTTTTTGTTGTTCAAAACTGAAAGTGTAAGCAGATGTTACTCATAGTATCTACTGCCCCATATTTAAAGCATTAGGCCTCTGATTGCACAAGCTGGAAGTGACTTCCAAGTGTCTTGTTTTTCCTTTTCATCCTCACTGATCTTTTGTCTTACACACACTGAAGAGGTCCTGTTGTGTGTTTTTTCTTCAGGTACCTGGCCAAGCTGTCATCAGTGGGAAGCATCAGGGATGAGGAGACGTGTATGAGGTTACGGGGACTCATCCAACGACAGGTACATGCCTTCTCTTAACACATAAACATTAGAGTTATGAAAATATCCATTGACACTGATGTACTGAGTTTGAAGGTTTTCGCACCTGTATCTAGACCATCATTAGCAAATGAGACCAACCTGATATTTCTGAAACCAGAAGCAAAATCCTCAAGGATTGTTTTCAGTTTTTAAAATTGACTAAAATATTTAGCCCTGATATGCATGGTTTCCATAGGATATATCTTAATGACTCGTGTCTTTTCAACCTTTGCCCTGAGAATCATAAAAGTCTTCACTTGTTGGAAACATCTATTAGGCTGATTGCAACAGAATTTGGCACATGGTTTCTGTGCACTTTGGGTAATTTGATATGCATTTGGGGATCTACATTTGCATCATAATGTTAAAATAAAATGTCACTTAATACTCTGGTTTATGGCCAAATTCTTCAAAACACACAATGGAGCCTCAAAAAGCTTTCTCAGATCAAATACATCTGCCTGCCAAACTGCTCTCTTAGTCTTTTTGGATAAGACGTCATTCACTCTAAAAATGTCAAATGTGGCAGCAAAGACTTTTTGTCTGATGGAAAAAAATTAATTTAAGAGTGAAAACTGGAAACATTAAGAGTTTAAAACTATAAGCTTAATACAAAAACAATGAGCCCTTTTCGTGAAATAAAGTTTATTGATTTTTGTGACGTTCCCAGAGATGGCTAGGGGTTGAGGGGAGTTACGATGAAAATGTAAAATCGGCGAATGAAGACACAAGACGGGGAATTTAGAAAAAACTAACAAATAATTTATTAAATTAAAGTGGATGCACAATTTTACTGAAAACAAGCTTCTTTCAAAAATAACTAAAGAGAAGCCAAACACTGACAGAATGAAACACCAAGAGAAACTCTGGTCTCCCGTCAGATAACACCCTTCTGAAGAAGTGAGATCCGACTTGCAGAACAGGGGAGGGAGAGAGAGAAACAAACACAAAACACACACACGCACACTACGGTTACAATTTCTTAGCATGCATTTATATCTGCAGGACAGTACCTCCTGTCCCTTCATTAAGACCTACAGACACCTAAATGAACCCTGGTAAAACATCTTATCTGAGCCATCAGATGAGAAAATATAGATTTTTTTTTTGCATGTTTACTACGTTTGTGGCTGACGTAGCTTCTTTGTGCCTTTGCTCCAGGTTCTGATCTGTAAGCGCAGTGTGGAGGTGATGGATGCAGTGCGTCGAGGAGCCCAGCTGGCTATCGACGAGTGTCAGTTCCAGTTTCGCAACCGTCGATGGAACTGCTCCACGCTGGAGACCATGCCTGTCTTTGGCAAAGTGGTCACCCAGGGTAAGACTGCACACCAGAGCGATTGCTGTCAGCAACACCCGGCAAGCTCATCAGTCTCCTGAAATATCTGTACTTCAAAGTTGTTCAAAATTATGCCAAAATAATTCTACATTTTTGAGCTTGTGTCCATTTATTTTGGCTTCTTCCCGCCAACTTTTAAACAATTTGTATCTGTACATCCAACGTTCTTTGCCACTAAGATTAAGAAGCTCTTTTCTGTTACCTAATGAAACAATATGACTGTGTTTGTGTGTGTGTGTGTGTGTGTGTGTGTGTGTGTGGGTGTTAGGCACTCGTGAGGCAGCCTTTGTGTATGCCATCTCAGCAGCCAGTGTGGCGTTTGCGGTCACAAGGGCCTGCAGCAGCGGAGAGCTGGAAAAATGTGGCTGTGACCACAATGTACATGGAGTCAGTCCAGAGGGTAGGTCTCTCTCTCTCTCTCGCTCTCTCTCTCTCTCCTGTAACACACAGGACACACATGCACACACACGCAAAGGGAAACTAGATTTTACGAGTAAGTCATGCAACATTTGAATCACTATTTAATTTAGAAAACGCCAGACATATGCATTTTGCAGTTTAGATTTAAGGCATCTTCAGTCAATGTGTGTAAAAACTATTTTCAGTTCAGTTCAAGCATTCATACAATCTCTGCAAATATACAGAAAATCAGCATTGAAGTTAATCCAGTGGTCATGTAGATAATCACTTCCTGTCTGTGTCTTCACATCTTGTTAAAGGGTTCCAGTGGTCTGGCTGCAGTGATAACATTGCATACGGTGTGGCCTTTTCTCAGTCGTTTGTGGATGTGAGGGAGAGGAGTAAAGGCCAGTCCTCCAGCCGGGCTCTCATGAACCTGCACAACAACGAGGCTGGAAGAAAGGTAACGCCGCACTTAACTGAACACTTCACTTCTTTAAGAACATGTGGTAAAAAAAACATCTGAAGTACTTCTATCATCACTTGTATTACACTTAGTATCCCCTGAAATTTAGTTCGACCCCAATGAACAGCAGGAAACATAGAGTGTTGATCCTTCATTTTTTTTTTGTGTGTACTTTAGCTTTCAACATTTACAAAGAACACATTGTATAGCTCTACCGGACTGTACCCAGGGATTATCCTGTCAGAAATGACATGTGCAAGATCTATCTGAATCACTTCTGCTAGTTATCAATAAAACTGCAATGGTAACAATACAGCTGAAAGCTTGCCAACTCACACTTTGGTCACAACCAGCAGTGGTCTACTACATCATAATTACTTATTATATGAAAAGCCAGAGTCCATCAAGGCAGCCATTAAGGACAAGTCCAACACAAGTGTTAAGTCATCTCAAATATGTCCAAATCAAAGAATATTTCTTCACAAGTCCAACTAAAGTCATAAGTCAATTGGAGTTGGCACTGTCTCAAGTTACTCGAGATGACCAATAGAACAATCTGAAATTATTCAAGATAAATCATTTCTAAGCCAACTGGGACGAGTCCACATCCAGTCTGAAGACACACAAGACAAGTCTGAGACTCATCTCATGTCTTTTGAAACAAAACCCAAGCAATTTGAGACAAAGGTCAATTCCTGTGTCACTTAAGTTGACTCCAAGGGAAGTCTAAAGTCGTTCATTTTCAAGCGAGTCAGATTTATATAAAGGAACGAGTAACTCAAGCTGAGCCCAGGTAAAGTTTCAAGTCATGAGAAAGAAGTCCAAGCTAAAACTAACTTAATTCAAAGGAAGTCCTAGTCGAGGCTTACCTTCCTTTCGATAGGATTTAAAAGGAAATTATGTTAAAACTCAGTCAAGTCTGACTCAAGTCTGACTCAAGTCCACGTCTACATTTTGGTAAGTCATGTAGTTGAAGTTGTTCCTGAAAGCACAAAGAGACAATGTTTGACAGATAGATGATGCTATCATTAGCTCGTCTTTATACGTGTTATGCATTGTTGTTTCATTATTTCCAGTTACAGTTGCATGCTAACCCAAACGTCTTTGTCGTCTCTGCAGGCTATTCTGTCCCACATGCGTGTGGAGTGCAAATGCCACGGCGTGTCCGGCTCCTGTGAGGTAAAGACCTGCTGGAAATCGATGCCCCCTTTCCGCAAGGTCGGGAACGTCATCAAGGAGAAGTTCGACGGCGCCACAGAGGTGGAGCAACGCAAGGCGGGCACCACCAAAGTGCTCGTGCCTCGAAACTCCCAGTTCAAGCCCCACACGGACGAAGACCTCGTCTACCTGGAGCCCAGTCCGGACTTCTGCGACTTCGACCCGCGGACGCCGGGGATGCTCGGCACAGTGGGCCGCCAGTGCAACAGGACGTCGAAGGCCATCGACGGCTGCGAGCTGATGTGCTGCGGCCGCGGCTTCCAGACGCAAGAGGTGGAGGTGGTGGACAGGTGCAGCTGTAAGTTCCACTGGTGCTGCTACGTCAAATGCAAACAGTGCCGCAAAATGGTGGAGATGCACACTTGCCGGTGATCGGAGATGGAGGCGCAGAGGGCATGATGATTAACAAAACGAAACGCCCCCGTACTCCTCTCAAAATGCCAAGGTGAAAGAGTTCAAGGAGGGACTGTGGAGTCATTCTTCTCCTCCTTGAAACCACCCCGCCCTTCTACTACTGGTCAAAGGAAACACACAAAAGTGGCTGAGATTTGAATGTCATCTTTTTTTCCATTTTACGCCACCATCTTGGATATCAGTAGATAATGCATGGGGATTTCCTACAAAAGCTAACGAGGGAGTTTGTTTCTTCTCAAGTAGAGAGCATCCTTCACTTTCTCCCTCCCTCCCTCACTCTCATATTTGCTTCGTCATTGATGCTTCTTATTTTTGTAATGTTTAACTTATTTGTTGAGACTGAGGAGGGTTGATGGGGGGTTATGGACCTGAAGAAGGAGCGGATGAGTGGGACAAACTGGACCCATGGGTGGGGTTAAAGGGGGTTGGGACGGGGTCAAGAGGAGGGATGTTTGCCCCTCTGTCCTTGCTGCTGATGCTTTTGGGGGACTCATTTGGACTGATGGATGTCAAAAAAGGGAGACACAGAGTCTGTTAGAAGATGAACAACAAAAAGGGGGACGCGTCACAGACGGACTTTCTGTGATTTGCTTCCGTTGCGCTGAGGTTTCAGTTGCTGTCAAGTCATTTATTTTTATTCCCCTGCGATGCCCTGATGCTGCTCCACGCAAAACACACTCACTCTGTTTCAGTCAGAAGGAGGATGATGATGGACAGGTGAAAGCCACGGTTAGCTTCCTTCCCATTTTTTGTTTTCTGTAGGCCAGAAGCACTGGCAGGTGACGGGCATCAGACACACCAAACACACACACACACCTAGCAAACATGGCTTCAAAAGACACCTGTATGCAGACAGCTGCTACCTACTATACAACCCCAGATCCTTACATAAAAAAACAGCTCTAAGTTCAGATTTAAGACGATTCATTACCATTTCAGAGCATCATTTTGTGAATTTCTTGAGAGATCATTTGGACTATTTTCCTTCATATTGCCTTCCGCCAAATGCTACTTAAATGCAAACCTGAGTAAACACAAAGACATGCATGCACCCGCAAACACACACAATGTAAACACACACACACACACACACACACACACCCACACACACAAAGGGGTCTACCAGAGGGTTGCCAAGCATGTTCAGCATGCATGACGACTGAAGCACTTTCTCTCCAAGCGCACATAGAGCCCTCGCCCCCACTTCAACAAACATCTAAAACCATAGATTCCAATTGTCCCGGTTCCTTACACACACTCGCACACACAGTTTGCAATGCCACTGTCAGGAGAGTCTGTTGTTGTCTTGCACCTCCGCCATAAAGCCAGGCTTTCCTATAATAATGTGCTACCATTATAGAGACATACTGTAGATCTGTAAAGACTTATACACTGAAGAAGACTATACTGCCTATGAATGTATGTTAATACGGAATATATGCTGTGTCAAAATATGACTTGTTGTCCCTTATTTCAAAAAGAAACTGTGTGTGTCATGTGTGTTTGTGTATCTGTGGAAGAGAAAGAATGCCTCAATAACAAGTTTTGCCTGGAGGGGAAGAAGGAACATGACGGGATAGAAAGATGGAAAGTGAAGGGCTGCAGATCCTATTCCACCACCAAGCCCCGGGACACACTCCCACACACAGCCCTGCCGACAGACATACACATATTTCAATAAAATCGGCCATTTCCCGTGTCTTTCAGCTGCGTTAGTATCTGGCCACAGAGAGCACTGTGCAGAATTTCCTTCGCCTGTGTGTGTGTGTGTGTGTGCATGAGTGTGTGTAGCCTGTTTGTGTGAGGTACATTACACCCCTGAGGTCCTTCCCTGCACCCCTGACACCTATAAAACATAATTTATGCGCCACATATCACAGCATACAGTATAACAACCTGAGATAAATGGACGCGTGTCCTGCGGCGCTGGGAACCGCAGGTAGTGGCCGCTCGGGTTTCAGCACGCGCCTGATTGGGTTTAATGCTGAAGAGGGAACAGAGGCAGGAACACCGGGCTAGAACAGGGATTACAGTGAAATGCAGACCACATGGCACAAGCTTTCCCCTCTTTCTGTCTCTATCAATATCACAGTTCACCCCCCTCCCCTCCCCCCTCCAGCTTTCTGTCTTTCTTCTGCAAGATCTCCGTCTAACGCTCCAGTCTGCTCCCCCTCTGCGGAAAAGTGTAACCCAAACTCTTCTGGGTCTGCGACGGCGGGGATCTGTCCTTCATTAAGCCACTATGATGGCCCAGATGAGGTGGGTGGTGGTGACCACACTGATTAGGACTGTCTGTGTAAGCTTGTGTTTGTGCGTGTCAGACAGCCAGATGTACGCCGAGGCAGTCGTCAGTCAGTCACTCAGAGATCTCTAATGCCTTTTGTGGTCCGCTGCGGTTGTGGCGGAGACAAGAAGCTGACAGCGGGGTTTTACCACTTAGCCTGTGTGTATGTGGGAGTGTGTGTAGAAATTAAGATTCAACAAATACGGATTCATGAAGGCTTATACAAATATTTGGGGAATTAAACTACTCATATTTTACATTTTGTGCACACAGTTAGCTTCAACACAGACATTTAACCAAAATATTTTTTTAAATCCTTCTCTTTCTAGGACTCACAATTTTGAGTGACATGTCAGAAGCGATATCTCTTACACAGAAATCAACTGTTTCCTTTATTATCATGTGTTTCTTGTCGGTCCCCGAGAATGTGCTTAACAATGAGTTAGCCCTGCTTTGGGACCAGGAGACAGATGCTCAATTAGCCTAGCATTGATGAGTTTCTCTTTGGCACACGGTCATGAGAAGATTAGAACGTTAGCCATTGACTCTTCGTTGTCTTTTTCCATAATGTACCTGTAGACACAGGAGTGTTCAATTTGTACAAAATAAAACACACCCTTTCCTATTCAATGCAGGTTTAGTGTTTAGTGCTTAAACTGTTCAGTATTTAGTGGTCAGCAGCTAAGGGCGGCTAAAGCTAGCTTCAAGCCTATTCAACTTTAAGTGCATGTTTCGGTCATAACTTTGCACAACTTGTGTTCCTATAACTCTTAAGTTAGCATTGTTAAGTAACAAGTTGTGGTCACAGTGGCAACTTAAGGTAGGCTAAGTTAACTATTCAAATATTTAAAAGTCCCTGTAAAGTAAAAAAAAAGCAATATGTCTCCAAGCACGCTAAATATGTTGCAAGAAGATAGCTTTAAACATGTGAAAGACTGAGAACTAAGTTTGACTGAGTTCCGATTTTTGACCGCTATTAAGTTTTCTCAAGTTTCAATTCTAGGTTTTAATGGGCGGAGCTAAATCGGGTGGTAACTACGTGATTGGGCCCTTCATCTCAACGTTCTATGCTAAGCGATATTAAAACACTGAGCGCTTCTAGCTAGCTTTGCCCTCGGTAGCAAGTGTATCTTCCCTGGAGGCCAGAATTTGAAGAACAGCTCAGTCTAGTGGCCGAACTAGTGGCTACATATATTTTTAAACTAGAGAGACATTGTGAGTCATTACGATGATTAAAACACTTTTTTTTCTTTTACGGAAACTGTAAACAAAAGAGGTCGGCCCCTACATGAATGAATAAAATTTGTATTTTGCTTGACTCTTGGTATGTTGCATAAACAGCGAAATTCTCCCCCAATCCATACTATCTCAAAATGTGAATAAAATTAACTTGACTTTGGCTGTAATGGAGGTGATAATACAAGCCAGACAAGGTATCTTTTGGGCAAAAGAAAAAACCTTCTGAGCGCTGAAGTGCTTCACCTGCTGCTTCGCCTTTAAAGCCCAGTTAGCCCTGGTGTTATTTCTTCAATCTGTGTTTCGTAATAAATGAAGCCTTTTCTTATAGAGTTAACAATCCATATTTAAAATCAATGAAATACTGAATAAGGTTTTTTCACTTCTAAAAAAGAAAATTCTGTATTATGATGGTTCTTATATCGCAGTAATGGTATAAAGGAGGTTGTGAAACTTCTTTGCTAAGTGTATACAGTTTTACTTTGGACAGGCTTCCCCTTCATATACAAATATCCGTCCTTTATTCAGTAAAACATAGGATATAATGATTACTTATCATCAACAGATACTTATTTCTAAGGTCTCATCCACTGTAAATAAATCTCAGAACATCATGATTGATAAAACATCAAGGTAATTCACAGCATGTGAATGATTTGCTGTCTATTTATTATAGAAGCACTGGTCCTTATCTAATAAAAGGAATCTCCTGAAGGTATGACAGGTGAAAAGATAATGTGTGATTTAATTCTTCCAGAAAATCTTCTTCCAAAGAGGCAGCGCCTGGTTCAAATGGCCCCTCAGGTGCCTCTGTAAACCGAAGGTTAAGGGTTTCTTGTCTCTGTTTCTTTGTCCATGTATATGTTGTGAGTGCGAAGGGTTAACAGTGCAGGTTGGCTGGATACTAATGCCCCTCGCTCACAGAACCCAGGAGAAGGCTGGCTTTAGCCCAGGGCCCGGCCCTCCCAGGCCTCTCTCAAACTCCCAGATCTCTTCAGAATACTTCTCATATTAAAAGAAAACAAGTTACACAAATGAGACAGATGGTTCTTGTTTGTGATGACAGTTGCAATTCTTTCTCCTCAAGCCCTCCTCTCCCTCCTCCTGCCTCTCGGCTTTCCTCTGGTGTCTCAACTGTTTTTGTCCTCGAAACCGCCACGTTGTGCAACACGAGCAGAGCGGGCACGAGAGTCAGGCCGGTGGGCATCGAGAAGTGGACAAGAGTCTTGCGTGGAGCACGGCCATTCCCTGGCAGCGGGAGCAACTTGGGGACATATCGAACATGTGGCTGCAGGAGGCTGGGGATCAAACCCCCGACCTTCTGGTTTTGAGACAACCGACTCTACCACTGAGTCACAGCCGCCCCCTAAACAGCCATCACACATAATACAAGTTAAAAAAAATAAAAGCACATTATCAGAAGCCCAAGTTATGATTCAAAACTGTGCAGTCATGATGGACAAATAAATCTTCATTTAAAAAAAAAAACTTGAACAGTGAAGTCGATTAAGCGCCTTCCTCAGACCTGGTTTCCCCCACACACACACACACACACACACACACACACACACACACACACACACACACACACACACACACACACACACACAGTGGATCAAGATGTTGATGAGGGCTTCAGCTGCCAAAGCTTCATCTCAGGATTGTGGTATGAAGGATCACGATGAGCTTACCTCTGCACACACACACACACACACACACACACACACACACACACACACACACACACTCTCCATCAGTGGTTATAACTATGCATCTGTCATCAGGGAGATGTTCAACTGAACTGTAAACAGCTTTCCCTTAGCACCTGGACACAAAACACACACACACAAACACACACACACACACACACACACACACACACAGCTTAAGATATATATATACAGAAATCTAAAGACTTGTGTATGTAGGTGTGTATATGCGGGTGAAGGGGGTTGGAGCGCGTGTGTGTGAAATGTATCCATTGGCTAACAGCAACCGGCCGTGTCAAAATAATCCTTGCAGTGACCAGAGGTATAGCGTCACTTTATGGTCCCCTGGTTGTCAGACATGTTTTCATCCCGCATGAAACACACCGCCACCTCAGGTTGTTAACACACACACACACACACACACACACACACACACACACACACACAGCTGCTGTTCCATTGCAAAAGAGGTTATTGACTATATTCACACGGTAGTCATTTTCCTCCGATCGAACACTCAGGGTGGGAAGCTCCAAAGCTGCTTTGCTGTCATAGTGCTGTGATCCAGGTTGTAAGCCGAGGTCGAGTAACAGTTTCTGACAATTATTATGAATATGCTGCCTTCAGATTAATCAGACACTTGAAAGGAAATCTGGAGGGACATTTAGTGATATTCAGTGCTGGACAAAATGTTAGGTCAGCCACCACAGCTACCAAGCACGATGAATGGTAAATGGACTTGAGCTTGTAAAGTTCTTTTCTAGTCTTCTGGCTACTCAAAGTGCTTTTACACCGCAGGTCACACCTACACATTCACACCCTGATGGCAGAGGCTGCTCTGTAGTGAGCATCAGAAGTAACTAATCACAATCATGTGCATTCATACACGCTCCTGCCATCGAAGCAGCTTTTTTAAAAATTATTATTTACAGTTTTTCTGTGACACCGAATAATATCTTGTCATTTTCTTGAGCTCTTTCTCCACTTATTTATCTTGCATCTTGAAAAGCACAAAACTACAGAAGCTCCAAGCAGACATGCACCCAAAAAATGTACTTCCAGTTTTTTGCCATTAGGAGTAATTTCCGATGGGTTTCTGGTATAGAGATGGGACTGATCCGATCTCATATCGGTATCAGGTCCAATATTGACGTAATTTACGTATCTGATATCGGACTGATGGCGCGGATACATGTCACTG